GGTTGTTGGACTTGCCTGAACACCCAGCACTTACGCAACGCAATGGTCGGAATGTAATCGATGTAGTACGCAGTACCTTATGTGCACTTAGCGTGATGGGCTTGGCCACCGACCATTGGGACGCCATCGTTTATCCTATTGTTCTCCGTAAATTACCAACATCGGCGGTCACGCACTGGACCGTTCTGAGTCATTCAGATACTCTGCCGCAGCTGCCAAAAATGCTTGAGGAGATTGAGACCTATGCCNCCCAGGCAGTCGGCAACATATCGTACGGCACAGTCACAAATGGTGATGCCCAAATCTTCAAGCGCCAACATGAGATCAGCAATGACCTGCCCACGATGCGCCGAGCCACATCGTATATCAAGATGCCCTCAATTTCGAGCATTAAGTCTGGATCAACGTTTGCACTGGGTACGCCAAGCAACGTTATGCTTCAACTGCTTGGGACCAGGTCACTCGGCCTGTGACTGTAACTCGGGGAATTGCGACAACTGTAAGCAGAAACACAACACCATGCTTTGTAAGGCAGCTCCGCAAGGCGAGCATTNATCAAGATGCCCTCAATTTCGAGCATTAAGTCTGGATCAACGTTTGCACTCTCGGCCTGTGACTGTAACTCGGGGAATTGCGACAACTGTAAGCAGAAACACAACACCATGCTTTGTAAGGCAGCTCCGCAAGGCGAGCATTTACAAACACCAGCTCAGTAGCGCAACCAGTGTCCGTACTCGAGCAACAATCGCCATCAACCAGCGCTACTGCGGCTCAGGTCCTGCCCCGTCTGGATGCTGTCCAGTGTCTCNCTCGGCCTGTGACTGTAACTCGGGGAATTGCGACAACTGTAAGCAGAAACACAACACCATGCTTTGTAAGGCAGCTCCGCAAGGCGAGCGGTTACCTACAAACACCAGCTCAGTAGCGCAACCAGTGTCCGTACTCGAGCAACAATCGCCATCAACCAGCGCTACTGCGGCTCAGGTCCTGCCCCGTCTGGATGCTGTCCAGT